AAACAAAAAAAAAAAAAAAAAAAGGTGAGCGCAGAGGGCCACATGCTGTCCTCACCTACAGCCAGGTGGGCCAGGGCCTCTGGGCCCTCAGGCACCCTGCAGAAGGCTCTTCCCTGTGGCCCTGGGTTCAGGGCTGGGTCCTGGGCCTGCCTGGTCCAGAACAATTGGGGAAGTGGGCGTGGTGGCTCATGCCTGTCATCCCAGCACTCAGGAGACTGAGGCAGGAGGATCGTAATGAGTTCAAGGCCAGGCTGAACTACATAACAAAACACTATCTCAAAAAAAGAACCAAGAGGGAGCAGAGCCAGGCACACCCCAACTCACCGATATAAGTAAATGCTCATTTCCCTGTTGTTGGAAGCACAGGAGAAAAGTAGGCCTCAGGATGTGACCGTAGAGGTGGTGGTGGATCTGTGGACTGCAGGCGGTGGGGCAGGGTAGGAATATGGAGGGGGAGGCTGCAGGGGCTGTATGCCTGGCCATGCCACACGGACAGGAGGCAGATGACCCTGTGGTGAGCCACCCCAGAAGGAGAGAGGACAGCATGCCCAGCCCTCCCGTACCCTCAGATCACCCAGTGACTGTGTCTTTTTCCTGCCATTTCTCCATCCTTGCCAGTGTCGGGGCTTTATGGCACGGGGAGGCTGCAGGTGCGGTGGAGTCTTGTGACTGTAGGAAATCAGGATTTGTGTGGAGGTCTGATCTCCTGATTCCTTCATGGTCCCCGATGCAGAGTATTTTATATAGCTTATTTAGCCAGATCTCGACTAAGCATTTTTTATGTGTGCTGCGGCCAAAATTCCCCTGGACTTCTAGAAAGTGGATCCGGCCAGGGAACTCCTAGAACAAGGATCACAGCCAGTCTCAAGGAGTTTGGGGCCTGTGGCGGATTCCTGCAGCAGTGTCCCACTCCCTGGAAGCCCTCTGCAGCCATTCTTCATGCTCAGAGCAGTGATCTGGCACAGGCAGGGCCTGGGTGTTGGGTTTGTAGGCACCCAATAGCTCTTGTTCTAGGGGTTGGGGGAGGCTCCAGATCCCTTTATGGGTGAGACCCAAGTGCAATGCCTGCAGGTGCTCATAGCTGTGCTGCCCCACCCACAGGTGAAGCGGAACAGCACACCCCCTCTCTCCCTGTTCGGGCAACTCCTGTGGCGAGAGTTCTTCTACACAGCGGCCACCAACAACCCCAGGTTTGACCGCATGGAGGGGAACCCCATCTGCATCCAGATCCCCTGGGACCGCAACCCGGAAGCCCTGGCCAAGTGGGCTGAGGGCAAGACAGGCTTCCCTTGGATCGACGCCATCATGACCCAGCTGAGGCAGGAGGGCTGGATCCACCACCTGGCCCGGCACGCCGTGGCCTGCTTCCTCACCCGCGGGGACCTCTGGGTCAGCTGGGAGAGCGGGGTCCGGGTGAGTGTCCTCCAGCAGCAGCTGGCCTGTCCCCTTGCTCAAGCCCAGCAAGGGTGACCAGGCTGGGGCTGGGGCGGGATCCCTGGGTACAGGAGATCCCCTCCAAACCCTCCACGGCAGGCCTGGGCAGAAGGGGTGCAGCAGCGACCGCGGCGCGGGGTCCCCAAGGAGGCTGATTGTGTCCCTCCCTGCTAGGTGTTCGATGAGCTGCTGCTGGATGCGGACTTCAGCGTGAATGCAGGCAGCTGGATGTGGCTGTCCTGCAGCGCTTTCTTCCAGCAGTTCTTCCACTGCTACTGCCCGGTCGGCTTCGGCCGCCGCACAGACCCCAGTGGGGACTACATCAGGTAGGATGCAGGCCAGGCTGCCAGGCCTCTGACCACTGTGGCCCCCCTAGAATGGAGGGGCTGGGAGTGCTGAAGTCGTCCTGTGTGTGTGTTTTAGGCAATACCTGCCGAAGTTGAAAGGGTTCCCCTCCCGGTACATCTATGAGCCCTGGAACGCCCCAGAGTCAGTTCAGAAGGCAGCCAAGTGCGTCATCGGTGTGGACTACCCACGGCCCATCGTCAACCATGCCGAGACCAGCCGGCTCAACATCGAGCGCATGAAGCAGATTTACCAGCAGCTCTCGCGCTACCGGGGCCTCTGTAAGGAGCCGCTGCCCACCCCATCTCCAAGCTCTGAGAGGGTAGATGCAGGGCTCAAGCCATCTGCTGAGGGAGCTGAGTACCCTCTGCCAGTCTGTGAGATTGGCAGACGTCCTGGGACAGGACCCTGTAGGCTGGACTGGATGGGACCTCCTCAGTATGGGAGGCAGGGGAAAGGGTACAACCTCATTGTCCTGGTCTTGTCCCCCTGCCTATTTCTCCGGCCCTGCAGCCCTGCTGGGGGACTGATTCCTTCTTCCCCTCTTCCCCAGGTCTGTTGGCATCTGTCCCGTCCTGTGTGGAGGACCTCAGCCATCCTGTGGCAGAGCCCAGCTTGAGCCAGGCCGGGAGCAGCAGCAGCATGGGTGAGTGGCAGCGGCCGGCCTGTGCCTCCACCTCCTCGGTCGGCCTGAGGCCGAAGTAGCACTTGCCTGGCGGAGCTTGTATTTGCCACACAGACAGGTGGTAAGGGAACCAAGACTGCTTGGGCACAGTAGAGGCTTGGTGGAGACGGGCTGGAGGAAGAGGCACCTTGGGGCCATTTTAGAGGGGAGCAGACAGGGAAGACCTCTCTGAACAGTGGCTTATTCCCTACATAATAAACAGGACCCAGCCCCTCCTAGAGCTGCAGAAAGAACACTGCAGGCAGAGGTAATGGCCAGAAATGGCCCAGAACAGACATGAGAAGATCCCATCCACTGGACGGGAAAGGAGGCTGGAAGCCACGTGGCCGTGTCGGCTTTGGACCCAGGGCACAATCCTGCAGGCTCCACGTCAATGTCCGTCTGTTTCCCGAGCACTGCAGGGTGCACCAGGCCCACAGAGCCCTCCACGCCCCCCGTGCTGCATGGAGCAGGTGGTGTGGGGCAGGAGTGAGAACAGGGAGTAAGGAAGGAGGTGACTGCGATGTCCAGGCAGGGGACAGGCAGTGAAGAACAGGCAGGTGGACTGTGCCCTGTGCGTTCTTGCAGCTCTGGGGTGATGATCAGGACAGTGATGTGAATCCGGCCTGATGTCTGAAGGTCTTTCCAGTCTGCCTGCCTGGCTGATGCTGAGGGTGTAGTCTGCTCAGTGCCACTCTGCAGCCCACTCTAGGCTTGCGCAGGGGTTGCCTCATCTTCAGAGCAAGGACAACAGCAGGCTGAGTAGTTGCTGAGGGCCAGAAGCCAGCCTGCTGCCAGCAGGCCTGGCCCAGCCCTCCTCAGTATCCAGGCAAGGTCCTGCTGCAGGGAAAACCAAGCTGGGTCCTAGGCCTGCCTGGCCCAGAGGGGTTAGAGAAGAGTCAGTTTTCAAGAGGATGCAGAGTCAGAAACACCCCACTCACTGATCTAAGTAAACACTCATTTCCCTGTTGGTGGAAGCACAGGAGAAAACTAGGCCTCAGGATGTGACCGTAGAGGTGGTGGATCTGTGGACAGCAGGCGGTGGGGCAGGGTCCTTGGGGTTGGGAACATGGAGGGGGAGGCTCAAGCCAGGCCTCAACGGAAGGACACAGGGACGGAGGGAGTGGCTGGAGGGACCTTGGGCTCCGACCCCACAAGCGGCGCTGCACAGCGAAGGGCGGGCCAACTTGGCTGTGTGCACCATCTCTGATTCCTTATCGTGCTTCCCTGCAGGCCCCAGGCCACTACCTGGTGGCCCAGCATCCCCCAAACGCAAGCTGGAGGCAGCAGAGGAGCCACCTGGGGAAGAACTCAGCAAACGAGCCCGGGTGGCAGAACTGCCCGCCCCTGAGCCCCCAAGCAAGGACGCCTGAGAGTGAGTGACCCGCTTAGTTCTGGGAAGGAAGGTGGGAGCCGGGTGGGGCTTGGTTTGGAAACTGCTGCCTGGTGGCCGAAGGTCAGACCTCAGCTGGACAGACCTGGAAGAAGACTGCACGGTATCTAGGATTTCAGCTCAACATTGCCACCATTCCGACTTTTATGCCTTCTGCAATTTGAAAGGAAATTTAAAATTTGAAGCCCTTGGTTTTACCAGTGAAAGGAGGAAGCAAGCAATATTTTGGGTACTTTCTACTTGTTAAAGTGAGGCAGAGCCAACAAAGAGAAGAGACCCAGGCATGCAGCTGTCGGGGACCGGCTGGGTCGTGTGGGCGGCCAGCAGGGAAGGGGCTGGCTGTGCTGAGAAGAGCGGCCCCAGCCCCACCGTCACCCCTGCCTTTCATAGCTGCTCCTCCATTCTCGCCTCGTCCCAGGCTGCAGCTCTGCACAGCCCTGGCAGCACACGTCTTTTCTTGAAACCTCCTGAAGGTCCTTCAGAGCGTCTCCTTCCCCAAAGCAGGAAAGGCAGCTTGTGCAGTTTGTCTCGGGATTATAAATTGCTGTCCTCCCTGAGTCACCCTGCCAGGCTGTCTTGTGTGCCAGTTCTGTGCCAGTGTACTGAATGAGGGTGACTTCTGGATGGAGCCATTCACTTCTTTCCTCCAGGTCCCTCTCACTTCTAGCCACGCTGGGGCCATCTGGTCAGGGTGACCAGGTTTGAATGCTCAGGGAGGCGGCGAGTGGTTAGTAATGGTCTGCTCTGCCTTTTGGGCTCCTCAGCATCGGCCCTGCTGATAAGCAGAATGTCTGTCTTGCTCGGGAGGGCCAATGCTCGGGATGCTGCTCTCCAGTCATCTTGTGCCTGTGATGCTGAGCAGGGCCCATCCTCTACTGCAAGTCTGTGACTTGCCAGGCTGCCGCTCTGATGTTAAGGCAAGTTCAGAGAACAGAGGTTGTGTTTGAGTCGGTCTCAGCTTGTGCTGAGGTCACAAGCATGCACCACCATGCCTGCCTGGAGTATTTTTTAAAAACTTGATCTCGTGAACTTGAGAGTAGAATGGTGGTTAGCAGAGGCTGGGAAAGGTAGTGAGGAGCGAATAGGGAGAGACGGACCCACTGGTGGTGTCCAGTAGGGCATGAAATAGTTGCCAGCAATGTGTGAGAAGGTGAAAGCCTAAAACGTGAACGGCGGGTGCTGCCTGTCCTAGTGGTCTAACAGCCTGCCTAGGAGAAAGAAGATAAATGTCCTACGACTTCTGGACAAGGGATAGTGGAGCCGAAGAGAGCCATTGATGGGCTGGTGTGACGAGGGGACGCACCACACGAGTCGGTGCTCAGGGCCTGAAAGATGAATTGGTCTCAGGCAGTGAGGAAGGTATTTTGGACAAGAACAGCAATCTAAGGTTTGTGTGATTTTGTACAAACTACGTAGCCACTGTAATTAGGTAGTGGTAGCAAAGTCAGGACTGCGTGGGACCACTAGTACACGTGAAACATCCCTAAGCCAAAACTCCAAAATGATCTGAAATCCAAACATGTTTGAGTTAGGCATGGTGGTGCATGCCTGTAATCCCAGCACTTGGGGTCGCTGAGGCGGGAGGATCGAAAGTTCAAGCTCAGCTGTGTCAAAATAAGACAGTAAAAAAGGGCTGAGGATTAGCTCAGAGCAAAGGCCCCTGAGTTCAGTCTCTAGCACCCCAAAGGAAAACAAAGATGTTTTGGATTTTGGGTTTTCCAATTTGGGATGCTTGTCCAATAACATTTATGCAAATATCCTAAAATTCATAAAACTACAAAATCCAAAACAGTTCTGGTCCTGAGTATTTCAGACAAGGGGAACTCAGCCTATAATACAGCATACAACTATCTGACTAACACAAGTAGGTGTTTATCTTTGTTTTTGGTACTTGGGGTTGACCTCAAGATCTTGCACTTGTGAGGCAGGTGCGGTGCCACCGAGCTAGAGCCTGGGCCCCGTAGGTGTGTATCGCTCTCGCCTAGCCAGACAGCCTGAGGGGAGCCTTGCTGGTTTGGCTTTGGTGGCTTCGTGATGTCAGAGCCAGCTCTTCTGATTTCCCCTAACCTGCTTGCTGGTCCCACGGTGCCTCTTCCGGGCAGCAGCAGAAGGGTGGCGGAGAGGGCTGTGCTTGCTACTCATACTCGGTTCACATGTACAGAATCAAGAGTTCCCGATTCCCAGGATGGTGTTGGGGCTGTGGACCAGACCGCTGGCCTCCTCCTTGTGCCCCAGGGGAACTCAGACAGTGGATGCGACCTTGTGGGTGGCGGAAGCCCATGAATGCTGTAGAGGAAGGGGGTTGGCGCACAGGTTGGCACACAGGGGAGGCTGTGGGGTTGTGAGGTGAGGGCTGCTTGTCCCAGGCCTGTACTTTGAGGCCCTAATCCATTGTCTGAGCCAGGAATAGATCTGGTCCCCTTGGCCAGGAGGCGTGGGGACTGACGGACACTCACACATCTGCACAGCCCACTGCCTGGCTCGGAAGCCCTCAGTAGACAGAAGCTCTTGTTGTGATAGGAATGGTTAGGATTCTTAGAGAATGTGAGGTCTTAGTTCTGTCTCACCCTGGAGAGCTGCGGTCAGGCAGATGGACCCATGGGGAACTCAAAAAAGCCGCATGGGACAGGATGATCACACTGGCCGGGCCTTGCAGAAGGACGGGTGGTGGTGGCGAAACGGTGATGCCAACTGACAAAGTCAGGCACAGAGGGCCCGCTGGTCTCTTGCCTTGTAGGACCTTAGGGCTGCTGCTTGGGCTCCCGTGCCCTTAAGCAGTGGCTCCCGTGTAGCTGGGCCAGGTGAGGCTGAGTGGTGGGAGCAGGGCCAAGAGGTCAGCAGGGGGCGGGGGGGACAGACCTGTCACTGAGAGCCAGTCCCCGCCCCATTCATCGCGCATGCGTGTTGGAGGGAGAAATGAAACCCCGTGTGTGAGGTCTGCACAAGGGTGTCACCTCACTCGGGCTCCTCAGAGCGCCTTTCACTGTTGCCGCTGTCCGAGCTGAGCGGAAGCTGCCAGCCTGGGTTGCCGCGGGGTTATCTGGAGAAGGGGAGGCACACACACCCGGTCATGCTAGCCCTGTGACTCGGGCTGGACGAGTAGCTGTTCAGAGATGCCTTAGCGATGAGGTATGCGTAGTCCTTCCCAACCCAAGGGCTCCCCGGGACCACTGTGGGTCCTCAGCGCCGAGTCCGAGAACTTCGCTGTTGTGGCGCTCGTGCCGCGGATGGTCTGTCATTTACAGTTTCAGCTGGTACTGTAGAAAAACACATCTGGTATCCGTAAGTTCGTGCTCACCTCAGATCCACACCATCTGAGTGTTCCGGCTCTAGTTCTATTTTGCATTGTTCACTATACTGCAAAACAAGCCAGCTTCCAAATCCGTAGCTCAGTTCAGCTGCTTCCCATAATCCCCGAGCTGCTGACTGCTCAGGATGCCATTAGCCTGGCGCTGTGCACAGAGCACTCTCACTGGTGCAATTATCTTCCTGCCAGGGGAGCAGCCGTGTGTTCCCTCACCCTCCGCAGGTACACAGTGAACTCTTAGCAGCTTGGCTGCGTACAAAATGTTCCCCTCCCTGGCCCGGGCTTCATGGAGTGGAGGTGGCTTCTGGGCTCTCCTCACGGCCGCCTGACACTTGTTCAGTCGTGTGCTCTGTCCTTGTGGGACAGGCACAGAGGTCTATAAAGTGGGTGTGGAGGCAGCCTGGCATTCACAGCAGTGCCTCACTTTCCCCGCCACTTAATAGGTGGCTGCTGCCCAGCTGCAGCCCCTCCCTCCCTTCTGTGAGGCTGTGGTGCAGGAAGGCGAGGGGCGAGCTGGACAGGGGAAGGTGCCTGCATAGGCGCCCTGTCCTCACAGGCTCGTAGCACACACATCCCTCGGGGCCAGGGTCTTGGGCAAGAGGGGCTGGCAGATTTGGTTTCTTGGTAGCAGCTAATGAGGGGGAAGTGCTGGGTGCCTAGGAGGCCATAGGGGGGCGGTCATTAATGCCTCTGTGTCCTTGGCACTAATGACAGAGTGAGCGAGGAGGGACAGCTCTCCAAGTTGATCCTCCCCTCGGTGCCTCTCCCCTGGTGCTCCCCTTTCCTGTAGTGCTGTGTTGTCATTCTCTCGCACGGCCTCCTTTGACTCCCCAGCTCTCTCTCTGCTCTGCAGACTCGTGCCTGAGCTGAGAGCAGACACGCGGTGTCTACTGACCACGAGTGGAGTAACTGGTTGGACTTGCTGTGTAAGACAAGCTGGTTCTCCCGAGCCTTGGTGTCTGGGTGGCGGCTTTGAGCCCCCCTCAGTAGAGGGGCTTGGGTGACCGAGGCTGTCTGCAGCCAGCCTGTTGTGAGCCTGCCCAGAACTAAATCATGCCTGAGCCAGTGTAGGTCTCAGTTACCACTGCATCTCACTCCCTTCTCTTCTAAGTGGAGATGTTGGTACTTGCACCCTTTGCAGGTGCCCCGCTTTTGGGGGGTCTAATGGAGGATGGAGCCCCTTCCCATGAGCATCAAAAACTGTGCACCTGGTCCCTATGCACAGTGGGATACTACTCGGCCAAAAAAGAATGAAATCCTACCACTTGCAGCAATGAGGATAGAACTGGGGATCATTATATTAAATTAAGCCAGGCCCAGAAAGGCAAGTACCAGATGACCTCACTCGTGTGTGGATTGTTTTGTCTTGTTTTGAGATAAGTTCTCACCGTATGTAGTTCAGGCTGGGCTTGAACTCACTGTGTAAACCAGGCCAGCCCTTCTTTGCAGCAATCCTCCTGCTTCAGCCTCCTGAGTGCTGAGTCGCAAGTGTGAACCACCGTGCCTGGCTGAAGTATTTTTTAACAACTTGATCTCATGAACTTGAGAGTAGAACGGTGGTTAGCAGAGGCGCTGGGGAAGGTAGGGGGAGGACCGAAGAGGGAGAGGCGGACCAGCATGGCAGATAGAGAGGGACGCAGCCCCGGTGTGCCATTGCACAGCAGGGCACCATAGGTAACAGGCACGTCCTCTGTTTCAGAAAGCCAGAGGGAAAGAGGAAATGATAAATGGGCTGGGGCAGCTCAGTGTGGAGCGCTGACCGCACAGGCTCCAGGCCCACAGGCATGTGTCTGTGTCAGTTAAAAATTCATTTAAGTTTTAAAACGTGCGGTGGCTCCACTCGTCATGCCCTCGGGCTCCTAAGTATCCAAGGACCCCCAGAGCACAAGCCTAGGGGTTCTTCAGGCTCCGCTTATCCACCCTACACCCTGAAGGTGGAGAACACACTGGAAAACGGAGGTACTGGCTTCAGAGGACCCACTGTGGTGTGGGATCCAATCCTGAATTAGAATACTCTGTTTCAGGAGAATACTCATCTCTGCTTACAGCAGGGCTAGAGAGAGACCTGTGTGCAGACTCTAGACTCACGGTTATAGCTCATGGTTTCAATACATACATGATCACCTCGATAACAAATGCATTTATTGGCTACAGTTTAAAGTATGGCTAGGTTAGTACAATATGAGTTGAAAGAAGAAAATTGTTGAAAATAATACCCGTTTTAAAGAATAAGGCACTTACTATTGACTTATACAGGTGTTCGCTCCTACCTACTTCCTTTGCTTTGAGATAGGGTCTCACTATGTAGCCAGACTAGCCTCGAACTTGTGGCAATTCCCCTGACTCAGCCTCCCCAAAGTGCCAGATTACAGCCAGTGCACCGCCACACCCAGCTCTCACGCCTACTTTTGCTCCTCATTTTTCCCAACTTCCAGGTAGATTACCACCATCCAGATAAAACTGCTTCAGACTTCGTATATGGCCTTAAAAAGATCACGTGTGGCCAGAGGCTGATTGTGGATCTATGGAGGACTTGGACTGTTAAGAGCATTTTCCCCTTCCTAGTAATATCTGGGTTTTCATTAAGGTGTGACTTTTAGTCTTTATGCCACCATACAGTTTGTTTTTTCTTTTTATACCATCTGACAGTCTTAATGAGGAATGCTAAAATCTAGTTCCGTACTGATAAAAAAAAATCCAGGTTTTAGAATCAGAAGCCGTGGGCTTCCTGTCAGGGCTCTAGCACTTAAGAACACTTTTGTCTTGGGGAAGTCCTTCGTCCTGTCTGATTCCAGTCTTCTCATCTATAAAAATGGGGCCACATCTTCAGGGCTAACGGGATTAACAGATTCCAGAGCTAGAGAAGTTCTTCTCCCTGTATCTTCACATGGTTTCCCTGTACGGCTAGGCCTAAATTTCCTCTTCCATGACGACACCAGCCATGTTGGATTAGGGGGTACTTTGTCTCCTCACTTTTCCTTAATTGCTTCTTTAAAGACCCTGTCTCACACACCTGTAATCCCAGCTACTCAGGAGGCCAAGGCCAGAGGATCACCCAGCCTGGGCATTTAGCAAGACCTTGTCTCAAAATCACTTCTTAAAAATAGCAGGGGTGAGGGCCGGGGATTTAGCCCAGCGGTTCGGCGGCCTGCCTTGCAAGCACAAGGACCGGAGTTCAATCCCCGGTACCAAAAAAACACCGGGGGGGCCAGGGATTTAGCTCAGTGATGCTCCCGCCTACCTCACAAGCGCAGGGTCCTGAATTAATCCCTGGTACCAAAACAAACAAACAAACAAAAAATAGCTGGGGTTGTAGCTCACTGGTAGAGCACTTGCCTTCACACGCCCAGCACCATGGGTTCTATCCGCACACTCCAAAGGTGCTAGGGAACTGCGGGGCAGGGACCTAAGTCAGGACAGTGCAGGTGTGCAGTGCCTGGCCACAGTAGGCTCAGTACATTTTCAAGGGGAGTGTACTTCCCTACAGCCTCCCAGACACTAACCCTGTTTAAACGGGCGAGCCAGGATTGGGCCTGGCTTACCTGGTGCTCTGTTACCGGGGCTGTTTCTTCTCGCTGCCCCACATTCAGGCTGTTGGAAAGCTTTTCAGTGAGTCATCCTGGGTCTCCACTCCTCTTCCTGTAGCACTGTGCCAGGGTCCTTTTATCTATACGTGGAGATTTGTACACCTGCTGGTTCTAAATTCGGTCACTGCCTTACTCTTCTCAATTACTGCTCCTGGTGGCTTCTGTCCCTGCCATTGTTTTTCTGATTCTCTATCTCTGGCGGCAGCTGCTTGCTCTTATCCTGTCTGAGAAGTGTCACCCAAAGCTGCAAGGGAGTGTCATGTAGCCTTGTCGTCCTCTGCCGCCCTCGAAGCTGAAGGGTGTCAGGGGAGAGCTTGTCCCAGCTGGCACTTTGTTTTTGTTTTGTTTTGTTTTGTTTTTGGTACCAGATATCAAACCCAGGACCTTGGGCTTTCGAGGTAGGCGGCGGAACCACTGAGCTAAATCCCCGGCCCCCAGCTGGTACTTTGAAGGGGCCGTGTTCAGTCAGCCCCTGTCCCCAGGGGCCCACATAGCTCGCTCTGCCATTTTGTCCCAGTTCCCAGTGTCAGGATCCCCAGGGAAGCAGCCAGAGGAGCTCGAGTCTCTGGCAGCCAATCAGCCTCCTGAATGTTCCTTTAGCTCTTGTTTTTCTCTTCCAGTTGCAGACTCACTGCTCCCTGAGCAAAACCTGGGTGCCCAAGCAGCCACTGTGGCCAGAGTGCAACCTACCAAGAAGCTGATCCCCGTCGGAGACAGAGCGAGCATGTGTGTGTGTGCGTGTGCCGAGGAAGGTGTGGGTGCTATCTGCGTGTGCATGCATGTTTACACTCTCAGGATCCTGAGTGCTGCCTGGGCTGGAGGGGTACCTGGAGCAGCTCACCTGGCCTCCAGATGCAAGGCTAGAGGTCATGGCCGTGACCTTCAGCCTTGTTTGAGTAGGGTGTAGTGGAAGGACCCTGCTGGGGAGGAGCAGAAGGGCCATATTTCCTGGCTCTTGTCCAAAGCACAGGATTCTAGGGGCAGCCAGAGTCCTGCTGAGTTCCCACTCAGGCACAGGAGGTGGGGCAGGCTGGAATGGGTGGGTGCCGGCCGGATACAGCCACCTGGCCTGGCCTGTCTTCTGTCTTATTTTAAAATCCTCTGCCACCAATCCTCATCTGGGACTGAGGACAGGCTGTAGACCAATCTGAACGGTCTCTGCTCTCAGATGGAAGTATGCCCAGATCCCTGACTTTCAGGCTTGAACCCCCAGGTGAGGAACAGAATCCTAGCTGTCTCTATTCTACCCCCAGAAGCTGAAAGCCAGTGCCAGAGCCTATCCGGGAACTATGCAGGGGCTGGGGTCCGAGCTGGACCCTCTACCAGGAGACTAGGCCAAGTGGCCGCGCTCCAGGGCCTCTCGGTGCTCAGTGAGGACAGCTGACCGCCGGCCAGGGAAGCCAGCTTGTTGTTCGGTAGGCTTCCAGGGCCTGCTGCGAGCTGCTCCACATCCAGGCTGCCGTGTCAGCTGTCCCAGGAGACTGCTGACAGGGACGGGGCACTACCAGGGGCGCTTGCACCCAGCACACGGTTCCTTCCAGAAGGAGGCGTGGGTCTGTACCGGAGCAGCCAGACCTGCATTCCAGGGATGGCCGTGCCGCCTCTGCTCCCCACACTGTCACAGGCCCATGTCGAGAGAAGCAGTGAGGAGGACTGCGGTCACCTAGAGCAAGTCTTCCTTCACCCCGTGGCCTGCCCTTGAGCCACAGAGTGCGTGTGCGTGTGTGTGTGTGATCGTGTGTGTGCACCCGCACACAAAGCTGAAAGGCTAATTCCTGTTGGATTTTGTTTTCTCGTGTAACATTAAGCTGGCCTCTGGGTCTCTTCCTCTCTACCTCCCCTGTGACCTTTCCAGCCTCAGAGCTGTTTACTCCCATGGCCCGCCTTCACTGTCCCGCCCTCAAACCAGAGCCCTGTTGACAGGCTCTTCCTGAGATGACTCCAGTTTTCTCAGCCTGAGAGCTGCCTCTAGAGTCCCGCTCTTCTGTGTGTCACCCTCACCAGAATGTCCTGTAATCGTGTGGGGGAAACGGCCTCAGTGAGGGTGTTTTCGGAGTGCCTGGGTGGGGGCTTTCCTTCCCTCAGCCCCAGCCGGGAGGGAGGAGAGGGGCAAGCCCAGAAAGTCAAAGGCTGAGGGCCAGATTCAGTATTTAGCACTACCTTCAGCTGTCAAGAGGATTCCCTCTGCCTGTTTGATGGCTCTCTTCCCTAACGTACAGACTGGCGAGACCACTGCCTCTCCTCAGCCATTGCCAGCATCCTGGCCTATCCCAGGACAAGCTCCTGCTGCAGTGGAGCTGTGGTGGCCTGGAGCTCCGTGATGGCCCAGGTGGCCCTAGGGACTGCCACAGAGCAATGCCCCAGCCCCTGATCCAAGGACCAGCTTGGGGAAGACACAGTTGCAGGCAAAATGCACTTTACAGATATTCTATTGCTGTTTCCCCCACAGTTTGTGAATATTAACTTGTTTTATAAACGTCGGATCCTGTCTGAGCAAAGCTGTGCTGTCGTCACTCTTGTGGGAGATCTGGGGCCAGGGCTTGGTAAGGCTGAGCCTTGGAGAAGCTTCAGGCCAAACTATCTTGGTTCCGCTGGAGCCAGGAGCCTCATCCCTCTCTGGAGTGTGAGGCACCCACTCGAGGTCCTGCTGGGGCAGAGCACTCCGGGCCAGGACAAGGTTCCAGAGTGCCACTGAGGTGACAGCCTCACAGCCCCGATGGTCCTTCCCCACTGGGTCAGACAGCCTGGACTGCAGCCGTCCCTTACCTCAGTGGGCATGTGGGCCCTCTGGCTCCGATGACATGGGCCTTCCTGAGAGGAGGGGACTCGGGCATAGCCAAGGAAACCAGTCTGCCCTGCACAGGGTAAAGGAGAAGGAACTTGACGTCTCGTTTCTTGGCTCTGCTCTGATGCCCCGCTGGCATCCCCACCTCCCTGGGCTGGCCTTGCCCCTCCGTCTCGCAAGCTTTGTTCGGCTTCGCTGTGGCCCTAGATGCCAAGATACCTTTGCTCTTAAGCAAAAGTTTCTGAAAAGGGGCTGTCCAGGGTGTGCACACACTGCTGACCTCCCGCCGGCTCCCTGGCTGAGACAATCGTGTCCTTAGCAGTGAAAACTGGTAAGATGCTTTCCTGGCAGGAAAACGCAGGCGCTATAGTCAGAGATGGTTACTGTGAGGGCCTCGTGTAAGGGCCTGAGCTGAAATAGCAGGAAAGAAAAAATGATCACCCATCTGGGCGCCAGTGGCAGGGAGCAGAGAGGCAGCCAAGGCCTTTGGCTTGGGTATGGAAATGTTCTCAGGGCTGGAGCAGGGTGCTGTTTACAGTAGGGCAGGTGCTTGAAGCTCCTGCTGGGCACTACATAAAGGGGCAAGGGGCCAGCATGACCAGTTGGCAGTCAGGATTTGCCAACAGGACTCCACAGGCTGTGGAAGTTCATTCTGGCCCATGAAGGGTAGGGTCTGCCATTCTCTCAGATGGCCACAGAAGCAGCAAGGCTTGGCCAGGGCTCTGTGACCTCAAAGCCAGGGCCCTGGCCTGGGCAGGCCATGTTCCATGAGAGGACCTAATCCAGAAACAAGGCCCTGAGGCCAGGCTTAACTCCCTCGAGGCGGGAGAAGGCCAGGAGGAAACCACAGCCAGAGCCAACAGTGGAGGGAACAGAAACCGCAAAACGACTTCCAAGAAGTCGACAGTCAAGGGGGAAAGTCCCGGAACTTCGGGAGAAGCCAGACCTGAGATACCAGTGCAAATGCGGGGCCCTCTGCAGGATGTGACTGAGGAGCTAGATGAGAGCGCCGAGTCCTGCAGTGAAGGACTGGGGAGGCTGAGGGGCCGAGAGGGGGCTCCGGTCACCATTAGCCGCTACTTGGCGCTGAAGGGAGTCTTGGGCCAGTCTCTAGTGAGGACACGCTCTAGGGAGAGCCCTTAGGAGGGTCGTTGCAAAGGAAGAGGACAGGAGTGAGGTGAGTCCTGCATTGTCCTCGGGAGCTGGGGACACCCAGCCCTCACCTCACTATTTCTCGCGTCTCACCCTCCCCATAACCATGAGAGGGATCATTGTCCTCATTTCACAGATGGGGAAACTGAGCCTTAGAGCAGTGACCACCGATGCAGGGCCTGACTGCCTGCCTATGCACCTGCGGAGCCGGGCAGCAAACACACCTAGCTCCAAACCTGCCAGCATCCTCTGTCCTTTATCTGCCCTCCTCTGTGACCCTCATTTCCCGCCCACCTCGTCTGCTGTGGCGGGGCAAAGATGGACTTGACTGGCGCCGGAGTCTTTGCGGCCCGGGGGAGAATCCAGGTCACGTTTGGGTCTGGGCCGGGCAAAACCAGGGTCGCGAGGCCGAGCCTTCAGCACCTCGGAG